AGCGACCGACTACCACGAGCAACCACGCACAGCAAACCTCGACCTCAGCCAACCAGCACAACCAACAACACTGACCACCGACCAACAATACCAGCAACACTTAACCAAACCACCACCACCGACCAGCGCCGACCACCAGCGCCAGCAGTGGCACCGACTAACACCAGCAAGTTCACACCATCCAGCTCTGACCAACAACGACGAGCAAACAACAGCGCAACCGACTCCAGACCAGCACCACCAGCAACACACACCCAATCAACCGCAGACCACACTCACCCAACAACAAGACAGCCGACTAGCAGCGACAAGCCAACACCAAACAATCCAGACCAGCGCCGACCACGACCAACCAGCAGCACCAACGAAAATGACACCGACCACTGACGAGCACCAACAGCACATATTCATAACGGTTATTCACAAAAATGCCCGGGCACTTACGACAGACGACCGGGTCAGCGAACTCATCGCAGAGCTCGACAACTGCCATTGGGATTTTGTGCTCATCAACGAGACATGGAGGACGACTACGACGGAACTATGGACAACCGTGGAAGGGCATGCGTTTGCTGGATCTGGCAATGACCAGGCGTGCCGCGGAGTTGCTATTCTTATACACAAGCGTTGGGGATAGAGCATGCAGAGATTTGAAGCCCACTCGCCAAGACTCGCCACGATGCTGTTGAAAAGAGGGCCTTTGAAATTGCAATTGGTGGCCGCATATTTTCCACACTCTGGGTACAGCGACCCGCGCATTCAGCGGATGTACGACGCGATCCACGAGATTCACAGAGAGAACGCCAAAGCACGACGTCATATTATACTCGCTGGCGACTTCAACGCGCAGGTTGGGGAATCCCGTATATCAGTAGATGGCGACGACGACGACGACCTCATCACTTCCAGGTGTGTCGGCCGCCGCGGATATGGAATCGAAAACTCGAGGGGTACGTAGTTGCGACACTGGGCTGCCCAAGAAGGGCTTGTGCTTGCCAGTTTTTTTTTTTTTTTTTTTTTTTTTTTTTTTTTTTTTTTTTTTTTTTTTTTTTTTTTTTTTTTTTTTTTTTTTTTTTTTTTTTTTTTTTTTTCCCCCCCGAAAGCCTATACATAAGCAGATCACTTACATCAGCGGCGACAAGCAGAAACAGCTCGACTACATCTTGCTCAACCGCAAGCTCTTCAAGCATTGCACTAATGCCGAGGCCAACAACGTGACCGACCTGGGATCCGACCACAAGGCTGTCGTCACTGAGTTGAAGATACCAGAAGCAATGGTGACAAAACGACCGCGACGAGACGACGACCAACGGCAGCGCAGACATGCACCACCCAACGCCTCCACCGGCAAGATCATCAATGTGAACGTCTACCACGACCAATGGAGACAACGACTGAAACCAGACGAACTACCCATCGACCCACAATCCCTGGACGAGCACATCCAGCAAGTTCTCATCGACGCCACCGCCGTTAGCAGCGCTGGAGCACCGCGACCAGACCGACAACCAGACAGAGGGGCAGAACGTCTACGCCCTCTCATCGCACAGCGACACCAGACACCAAACAACGACCACCGCACCCGCAAACAACTGAGCAAACTGATACAGCAGGAGATCCGCGCGCAGAAGCGGCGGACACGACGGGCCCATATAGGAAGCGTGCTCGAACAGTTCAGAGACCTCAAAAGTATCCCGCGCATCAAGACACGCAGAAAGCGGAATCTCATCACTCACATGACAGACAAAGGAGGCTCAAAACGCACGGCCCGGCAAGAAATTGCAGACATATTCGCGGAGTTTTACGAGCAGCTATACGACGCAGCGGCCAAGCCGACGCAGCGAGAGCGACGCAGCGACGACCTTCCACCCTTCGCTGGCGAAGAGTTGGAAAAGGCTATTAGAGGGCTCCGGCTTGGTAAGGCTCCAGACGCCAAAGGCCTACGAGCAGAAATGTTGAAGGACGGCACGGAAGAATTGCACGGCGCACTTCTCCACCTCTACAACGCGGTCATCCAGTCCGACGCTCCGCCGCCGACCAGCTGGAAGAGCACTGTCGTCGCGGTCATTCCCAAGAGTGGGGGTCTAGCGCTTCCGCAAAACTATCGGCCCATATGCACAATGCCATTGCTTTACAAGCTTTTCAGCAGACTTCTCTACAACCGACTCCAACCAACACTCGACTCCCGACAAACTGCAGACCAGGCCGGCTTCAGGCCAGGACACTCAACCACCGACCACTTATTCGCTTTCCATATTCTCCGTGAGCGCGCGCGCGAATGGAACCAGAACTTGCGGGTAGCGGCGCTAGACTTCAAACAAGCTTTTGACACCGTCGAGCACAATAGCATGTGGGCAGCGCTGGAGGCGCAGGGCGTCCAACGAGGATACATCTCACTACTCCAACAACTGTGCGAGGGGCAGACGGCCACGGTCAGGACTGACGTCAGCAGCAAGTCCTTCAGTCTCCTCTGGGGAACGAAGCAGGGCGACCCGCTCAG